TTTTATAGTAGGTCCAGTCATGGTGGCACCGGCTGCTAAGACACTCTACTCCACAGGCTGGGACCTCATGGGAAGCACAGGTTCAGTTCCTCGTCCAACCTAAGGCTGGCCATGGTGTTAAGTTCCCAGTCACCCCAGTGACTATGGAGACTGAGGCAGAAGGATCGTCGCCTCCAGGCTAACCTGAGCAGTATGTGAAACCCTGCCTAAAACTGAGCTGGGTGTGGTGGCATGCACCTACAGTCCTAGGAGACTGAGGCAGGAGTGAGAATAGTGAGACCCTAGCTTACTTTTTAAAAAAAGTTTCACAATAATAAAAGAAAAAGGAGAATTTGAGAAAGCATACATATATCCGCTCACACGTGCAAATGAAACCCAGCCGATTGGTTATCTATAATACAACAGAGTAGGTAAGAAAGGTGGGAGTAGGGGGACTGGGAATGGGGAGAAGGATGAGGAGAAGGTGTCATGTTCTGTACAGTCTGTCACTTCAACCCCACTGTGTCCCACCTACAGCCCCAAAGAAACCATCTGCATTAACCAGGATGTGAGGGCTGATGTCAAAATAATAATACAGAGAAGGAAATGAGCTGCCTATGTGGTGAATGAATTCCATAATACTCAGAATGGGGTCAGGAAGAAAAATTACTATAGTAGCTTTAGAAAAGTGTTTGCAGGCACTACTATAAAACTAACACAAAGGAAGTATCTGAAACACGAATGCTAACTTAAACAAGTTCCTCACAAGAATATGAGTGTGTTAGACTGAAACTGATGTGAATACATGATTGGGAAAAGCAAGTAATTATATTAAAAAGAGGAGGCAGGATTCTCACAGGGAACCAAGTTGCAGGTAAGGACAGGAGAAAGGCTGGAAGAAACCCTGTGGTGTTAGGTTGCAATCTCAGGTCTCAGCCTGAACTCAGATCCTAACACATACATGGGTAGCGAAACACAGAAATAAACACAGCTAAGGGTGCGTGGGTGAGCTAGTGTGCCTGTTCTCGGGGCGAGGACAGAGCAAGGACGCCTGGAGTGCTGCTCACCTAAGGCATGGTGTTGCTTTCTAACATCACCCTGCGTACAAGCAGCTAGGGCTTCCCGAGAACTGTGGGATTCTAGGGCTTGTGCAGAGAAATAGAGGATGAGTCAGGAATATCTTACAGACCCAGAAAGCCAGGAACCAGCCCTAAAAAGATTGGGGCATATTGAAGCAGAGAGGTTATAACCTAACCTAAAAGAGCTCCCCAGGGCAAAATATGGACGAATTTGAGCAAAGTAATATAAATAAGAGAGATATTGAATTATAGCTCCTAGAAGAAAATAAATATCTGTTAGTCTATACTAAGATGGTTAAAAGATTGACTAAGTCAGGGAAGAAGGGATAGTACTTCTTTTACAGAAAGACTCCAATTAATAAATGAAGGAGATAGAAAATCCTCATTAAGCAAAAGCCTCAGTAGTGGGCCCAGCAGGTAGTATGAAGGTTAAGGTACTGGATAACATAAGGCCAGCTCCATAGTTCAAGTTCTGGACTCAGTGGCTTGAAAACCATGCCGGGTGTGTATATATGCATGCCCATCATCCCAAGAGGAAAAAGAGGACAAGGGATGGCCGTTCTTCCAGGGGGTGAATTGCTTCTAAAACTGCTTCTCCCTCTCTCTCTCTCTCCTCTCTCTCCTCTCTCTCCTCTCTCTCCTCTCTCTCTCCTCTCTCTCTCTCCTCTTTCTGATGAGTGCACACACCCTATAGAATAAAAGAAACTAAAACTAAAACTAAAATTAAAACTTTTTTCAAGACCTTCAGTAGTAATTATTGCAGGCAAGATTCACTGTCAAATGTCCGAATCTGAGGGCAAAAGATTTAGAATTGCAAAGTCCTAAACTAGTTCTTCCAGGCCGAGTCACTACTGCACATGGGCAATGCAAGGGCCCAGCAAGACTGGATCCACCCCCGGTTTGGATATCCTAGTCAGTTCAAAGAATGTGCGGCGGGCACATGGGCACACAGGATTCTTCGGAGCTGGAGAACTGGGAAACAGGATCACAGTGTAATGAGACCTATGATGAGACCCTATCGAGGATGCTTCCTCTCCCTCTCCCTCTCCCTCTCCCTCCCTCCCTCCCTCTCTCATGTACACAAAAAAGCATATAAAGTATTCCTTCCAGATAGTCATTAATTACAAAGGAAAAAATATCTTTGCCAAGAAGAAACCCAGAAGACACCTCCTTAACCAAATAATAAGATGTATGTTGTATTCTGACTAAAAATGAATAACTTCAATCTAATTATGGAAAAGCATCAGCCAGTCCCAAAGTGAGGACATGCTACAAAATGGCTGACTGCGACTCTGGGACCCACCCAGGCTGGAAAGCCAAGGAACTCTGACAGATGGAAGAGAAATCAGCAGATACTACATTCAATGTAATATGGGAGCCCAGATTCGTTACTGAACATAAAGAGGATATTAGCACAAAGTGAGAAATGGAAAAATTGGATTACTTCTGAATTTTAGTTAATAGTATTACATCATTGTTCATTTCCTTGTTTTGAATGTTGTTTAGTGGTTAGGGGAGATGGTAACCTCAGGGGAAGATGGGTGAAGGGTCTAAGGAAACTCTCTGTACTCTCTTTTCTATAAATCAAATATTACTTCAAAATGAATAGGCAATATTTTTAAAATCTACATTGTATGTATGTATGTGTGTGTGTGTATATATATATATATATACATATATATATATATTAAAACAAGTAATTGAATGTAACTGAAATACAGATGGCTGACAAATAAACGTAAGATAAATAATGACTGCACAGAGGAAGTTGATACCAACATGCACAAGAAAAATAAGCCCTGAAGCCCTTAGAAATGGTGGCAGAATTTAAGTCAACAGGGTTGTTAGTTAAAAGAGGTCTCAAGTGAAAGCAGCCATGTGGCGTCTGAGTTGGAAAGTAAACTCATCCATCTGCTGTGGTCAGATATTTGAGTGAACTCCATCCAAATTCTGCCTCTCCATCTGAAGGGAAATGTAGAGAACATGGGAAAATTCCCCAAGGCTAGGACATATCTGCATCTTGGATGGAGAAGATGGTGTCAAGGAATATCAACCTTCTGTAAGAAAAGCCCAAGGAAATGCCCCAGCCTGAGGAGAACTTAAGGTCCAATAACTTTGGGCCATTACTTCGGTAATAGTTGAACTCAAGAGCACGGAAGGTCAGAGGTTGGGGAAGCAGTAAAACGTGATTCTCTGACAGCCCCACACAGGAAGGTTCCTGATCCAAGCCCAGAGAACTCCGTGAGTACTCGGCACATGAGTGAGCATGATCCAGAACTGATTAGTGGCTGGGGGCAGGTCACGGTGTCAGAACCCTGCTGGGGTGCTTCTGTCTCATCTCTCTCTCTCTCTCTCTCTCTCTCTCTCTCTGTCTTCCTCACTCATGGAAGAAAGAGAAAAAGAAACTTAAAAAATATATTGCTGAGCACAGGCCAACTGTGGTGGCACAGCAGGAAGGTAATACTCCACAAAGTTGGACCCACAAGGGAAGGTCCCAAGTTGAGTCCTGAGGCTTTCCTCTACTCAATGGCATGTGTGTACCCTTGACCCAGGCAAACTGAGGCTAGGGGGGACAGATTGTGGTGTGAAGACTCTATTGGGGGGGGGGTCCCTGTGTACGAAATTAATTTTAAAAAATTTTTAAAATATATCATGAGGGGACCAACAGATGGCCTAACAGTTACATCACTGGGCTCCTATGTAGTTCATTGTGGTTTGAGTCCCAGACCTGGTGGCTTAAAACTCATGACAGGCATGTGTGTATGCATGTTCAAAATCCCAAGAGGAGAATGGAGGAGAAGGGATTGTGATGTGGTCATCCCCCTTGGGGGATGATTTCTCGCTTTCTGTCTCTCTGTCTCTCTCTGGTGAGTGCGTGTGCCCTATAGCAAAAATCTCTCTCAAAAAAAAATTATATACACAGACACACACACACACACACACACACACACATACACACACATAATGGGCACAGGCAGAGAATCTGAGACATTCTGTGTCTCAGAAACAACTGGACAAGCTTGAGGTCTCCCATCCTCCATAGCCGCTGCAAGCCAGGCACCTCACAGCAGCTGAACACCATTTTTCAGAGTCAGAGAGATGGTCCCCATCACCACAGCTCTCCATCCCCCTCCCACCTTGCTGTGTGGACACACAAAGGGACAGCAATGGGCTGGGGAAGGGTGTCTACGGCTCCAGGCAAACGGCATTTCTCATTCTCCCCTTAGTTCAAGGCTGCGTCAAGATTTCAGGAGAATATATGAAATAAGACCTCTGTGTGCACAATCTCCCAAGTCGAGCTGAAATATACATTCTGAAGCTAGAGCATGCTACTCTTTTTCCTTCTATAAAGACTGAAATTTCTTTAGTGGCTCGATACTTCCAAGTATCAAGTGGTCGATACTTTTAACATTTGAGGTCCGGCCATGTCTAGATAACATATTAATTTCACCTTTGAACAAGAGAATGAAATCCTTTTTCTGAAGAACATTTTTGCTGAGTTTTCTTTGCCTGCTTCTAACTCATGTTGAATAGGTTTCCAACTCTGCCTTTAAAGTGGCATTTGCTACATTCCGGGATGTATTACTCAGCATTTTTAACCAAAGAACAATCGTCTTTGCTTACATTTGCACTTCACAAGATTCTCATTGCGCTGTATTGATTCGTTGTCACCCATTAACGCAAAATATTCTAGTGTCCACAGGACAAGTCATCAACAATTACATTCCCCTAGCATCGCAGATTTTAAGTGGATCAGTTAGCCTCAAAAGGCTAAATTATACTTCAGAAAAGGTTCATATTAATTCTTTATTTTTCTGGTTGCTACCTAATAAGAACTCATTTCATAGCTAAATAGGGAAATATAGCCAAACGGTATGTTTTAGTGACAGCATGCAATAACTACATCATCTATTTTAACGTGGAGTTTAAAATACAATTCAGGTGCTTGTCTCAGGAGCACATATACTAAAATTGAAACAATCCAGAGAAGATTAGCATGGTCCCTGCCCAAGAATGACACACAAATTTGTGAAGCATTCCATATTTTGGGAAGAGGGTGGGAGATGGAGGAGAGAGAGAGGAAAGGAATCAAGAATAAAAACAGAGAGGCAAGACGTGTGAGAGACACAGAAATGGAGGACTGTCTGTTGATGATAACATGTAATCTTCAACTGGACAGGTGGGAAGGGGTTCATGCTGGGTAAATTCATTTTACAAGCTGTAATGACGTACAGTGACGGAATGTATAAAA